GCTGGGACTGTACTGCTCCTTTTTTAGCTAAGCTCCCCTCTATTGCTTCGTTACCGGAACGGATTTCGAGAGGGTATAGTTCATTTAGAGGCCTACGCAGTATGATATGATTAGGCATTTCGTCGGGAAGGGTTTCCCGAACATGCAACTCAAACAATTTGTTGAGTGTTCCTGTTTGTCTAGGTCGCTAATAGCGGCTAGTTGTTGTATGAGCTGTTTGCTCTCTGTGTCATTTGATAAGGGACTGCAGCGTTCGTGGATGCCGTTGCTATTTGATTGCGTAGGTATGGTACCATGGCCATGGATGGTGGGGCCGAAAATTGTTTTGGCAATGTGCAATCCAGAGGGCAATTGTATTAGCTTACTATCTGGAGGGACCAAATGATAATAATAGTCTAGTCCGACAAGAATTTGTGGAGTTTGGTGTTCTCCCTTAACTCGTGGATTGCATAACCAGAGTTCGTTTCGTTAGAGGAAGTGTTTGTCCTCCTTCGACAAGTTTACCGATGTAAATCCACTTGTAATTATCGGTTTCGTTTGGGCTTTTATGTCAATTTCCATGCCGTGTGCAGTGAGTATTTTGAGTGTAACAACGTCACTTTGGAACCTTTCTGTATGTCCACCAATTCCCGACACGGCGCACATTTCTCGTGATTGCTTGGAAAATGCCAGATTCCGTGCCGTTCGCTCTCTGATGAGCGCCTTCTGAGCTCCCATATCGAAAAGGAACAGTAATTTTTCGAATTGGTCCGTGTTATAGTTCCACACGCTACCTTCGGCTGTCATCAGCACAATTTGTTCTTTAAATTCCGTAACCTGATTACTTCTATTTTCAGAATTGACGGAGGCATTATTAGTTGTTGCTCTACCTTGAAAAGGTCTATTATTTCGAACATCATTGGAATTATTACCATTCCATGGCTGCCTTTCCCCTCTAATTTGATGAGGGTTTCTTGGTTCTGGTGCGACATTGTTCCTTGGCTGAAATCCAGAATTTGGTCTATCGAAGTCATTGGATCCGTTCCCTTTTCATAGGGACCGGTGGCGAAGCATACGCTGACATCGTGCATTTGTTTGCAGCGCGAGCAATTTTTCTTGGGGTATTCGCTGCTACTGTGGCTGTCAGCATAGCACTTCCAACAAAGTTGCTCCTTTTTCAGGATATCTCTTCTTTCATTTATTCCTACCACAGTTCTACAATAACTTCACGTGTGGTTGGTATTTTTGCAAAATACGCACGCCTTTGAGACCTAATAGAGCTCTTCACTGGAGTATCTTTCTCTTTCTCCGTTGTGAACGTGCTTCGAGAAGTTGCGCAATCTTGACTCTACGAATTTCTTCGCTTCTATCTCTTTTTCCAACTCGTTCATTATGTCTTCAATTTTAACTTCGTCCTTGCTCTGGGTAGTTATCAGGACGTTCTTCACGATGCTGTATGGGAATTTTTAGAGAATCTTCTCTGTCCATAGCGCATCTCGCGCAATGCGAATGTCTTGACCTGCTGATACCATTTGGTTAATGAGCATTCTAATTTTGTCGCAGACATTATTGCAGGCAGCCGCGTTGCTGGCCGCTGGGCGCATGTCAATTAGTTTTTGTACTATTTTTGCTCTGTTCATGGGTTTATTACCATATTTTTTCTCCAGAGCTTCAATCATCCAATTGTAGTTTTTTTGGAATCAACTGTATACCTTTAACGGCTATTTCAGCCCTTCCTGCGGCTTCAGAGTGCGGCAAGTCCCGTCTGTCAAAGCGTACGTTGTCCGATCTGTCGGGCATGTCTTCTGACAGCCAGACTAAGTCCCCGCCGATTTCGAGCTCTTCTGTGAACTCATTCTTTGTGTCGTCCTTTCTAGCGCCATTGCGCTGTGATATTTCGCTCCTTTTCGGGTTTCTTCCCAGCTTTTGAGCAAGTTTTTGCAGTTTATTTCTGCTCTCTGTTAGTCGTGCTTGCAACACGTAGATCATTTTGTTGGTACGGGCTATTTTCTCCGTGAACTTGCACTCTGAATCAATATCTTCTATACCATTTATGAGGTCTTTTTTGCTACCTCTAGTTTTTGCTTCGTCGAATTCTCTTTCTAATTTGTCGACGAGGGATTGCAGGGAATCTCTGCCAGATTCATTATTTTTATTCCGCCAGCTATTAGGTTCACTGCGGTAGAGTACTCTTCGTGCTGTTTGCGGTCATCTCCTGCGGAATTTATTTCCTCTGCGTATGAGTTGAACTTGTCTAGCAGAGTACTAAGAGTTTTTGCGCCATGTCCTATTGGTTTTTTTTTGTGGAAAATCAGCGACGTTTCGAACTTTTTTTGTTTATTGTCCTTTTTTTCAATTGGTTTCTAGTCTTCGGATTTTGCCAGAGACGGGTTGGTACTGCTGCTTTGAACAGTAATATTTCCTAATTCCAGCGGATTTTGCCGAAGGAACAGGTTTATTCAAGGCTTTGCCCCTGATCGGTGGTTTATTTCCAAGTTCAAACGGTGTTATCCGATGAAATGGGAAAATACGGCTGGTTTGGCCGATGCACCAAAAATTGTCCCGGATTGGGAACAAGAGTTTTTTGGTTAGTGGCTCGCTAGCGTTTACCCTTTGCTCGGGTGGTGTGTATGCTCACAGTAGTTTGTGCAGATTTATTGAAAGCACAAGAAGCCCCGTATCGGCGGTGCAACGGGTATTTATATCCAGCCGATACGGATGACAAACAAGGTTTATCAAGGGTCAAGAGGTTGCAAATAGTCTATATGATTAGTAAAGGTCACATCGGTAGGAAATTCTGTACATGGTTATCACGGGTCACAGGGGGCAAATAGTGTACAGCTTTACCAGTGGTTACAGCGGTGGTAAAAGGTCATCGAAGGTTAAAGGGTCGCGCAGAGCGAGACAACCTCTTTGTTTCGAACTCTAGTGAAAATGGCATACAACGCACCAAGGGGGTTATCCTTTGCTTTCCAATGTCTGCCTGTCTTCGGAATGTCCTTCCTAACTCCATGTTGGAGTTTTTTTTGCATTGAAGTAATTTGCTTAGTTTTCACTCTGGGGTATACTCAGTTCTTCTACCGTCGTAAGTCGCGGCAGTATCAAGTGTCACATATCGACTGACCGTAAACGAATCATTTTGATCGTTTTGTATAAAAATATTCACGTGAATATCAATGACTAAGTATGAGTTGCAGTGAGGTCACTGGTCCTTCAGGTGGTCGTCTCTCCACGGAGGTGCAAGTAGTGCTCAGTGCTTGATTACCCGAGTATTGTGGAACTTCAGTTCAAGAAGAAACCCTGTTTTGTTGCAACCTTAGCGACTTACTAAACAGGGAAAACAGAAATGGATGAAAAATAAACGCTTCTGCAGAAAAAGCGAGGTCCATTCAGTCCACCAAGTTCTCCTTTGCTCGGAATACGATGAACACAGAAATACCACAAGCGATGTTATATCTGATTCTGTTTTAATAATACTTTGTGAGAAACTCACGTAACATAACCACATGCTTCAGTTCTGGGAAGCGATGCCTACCCTGACTTACGGTATTGTAGGAAACAATATACCCCACTACAATCATTCACTACTCCGAAGTCGAACAAATGATCGTATAGGGCTTGTTGAGATAACGACGTTTTTGTTTCTTATATCGGTTTGATACTCCAAGCCATTCTACCTAGTGCGGTACGCGAAGCTGGCTTCGAGACTTTCACGTGGTTTCAAGTATAAACACCCGCGCGCGGGAAAGTAACTCAAACGGCAGCCGGTGGCGAGATTGAATCGCGTTCCATATAGAGCAAATGGTTATCAAAGTTAAAGGGTCGCGCAGAGCGAGACACTAAGTCTGTAGTGTTGAACTACAAGAATATGCAAGTACTTGCTCATTCAACAAAAAGCGAGGTTACGCTCGATCCAAGTCCAGCATACTTATCAACAGCGCAGAGTTTGTTGTAGAATAAAAACGTCCTGTGGAACGAAATACAGTGAGAGGATGCGATAACTGTCGAGAAGGAGCAGAAGCCATTGCGTTCTGCGCTGGGGCAGTCGAATAATTAGTAATTATTCGTTGTGAGAACATAGCATTCAGGGCAGCGATCCTTCCAACAAAACTACCAGAATAGCGCTCGAGCTGAATAACTCTCTCATCAAGCAGAAATGCTATGCGATATGCAATACAAAAGAATTACCGTTGGAACTAAACGGACTATTACACTACCATGTGTGATACTTTCCTCCAACGGTGTCGGTTAGGACAATGCTCAGACTGCAACATGGTCATCATTCAAAAAATTCCACTTTCCTAACTTGGAACCATTAAAGTGGAAGGTGACACGCAGCAACAGCGGTCACTGCACCTGCATTAGAAGACACCCATATGTTTTGGCCAGTCGTAATAATAGTGATGTTGAAAGCTATAGTTTCAAGAATGCAGATTACAGTGAATATGACATAAAACTTTGTCAAAAATATAGCAGCATGTTTGCGAAGGACAGTGCCATGACGAAAAGCCGATTCAACAGACCTCTACCAGTTCGATATTAACTGATACCTTATTGATACCTTTGATAACCCTGTATACTGTTTGCAACCGCTTTGACCTTTGATAAATCCCAACGTTGGTTTGCCGCTCCCTATCAGCTGGGATAAATACCGCTGACACAAGGCTTCTTGTGCTTGAACAATAAATCTTGCACATAGGCAAGAGTAAACAATTTACTAAATACCCAAGACTAAGCTTAGACTTGCTTGTTCCCGGGGACACCTCTCATGTGTTTCGCGTCAACAGTGACTTGCAGGATAAGCAGCACGTACGCGTTACATCTAATTGGTTTCAATAGAATGGTTGGTCGTCGAAGATGCTCACCTTCTGACCACACGTTTTCATTTTCAGTTATTCCATGTCTCCAAATTCCGACACTCGTAATCCCCCACTGAATTTTTCCAGATATTGCGCTCTATGGCTAAATCGCTATACGGTATTCATGAGTTGGATGGGAAGGAGGCTCCTTTAAAATGAAGAACCATCAGTACGATCTCGGGCAGTTACAGCGGTGATCTACACTGTTATATAGTAAGTTAGTGGTCTATAGATGGCTTGTTTTGATCTTACAAATTTCCAGCTGGAATGACCGACGAATTGATGGTCGAAGCGGCCAACAATAACCATGTTAAGTTGTCTGAAGTTCAGCTCATACACAATGAATTTGGTGCTCCCTTGGAGGAGTGTTACAAATTGGCCGTTAAGTTCTACAAAGGTTAGTTTGTTTTATTTCATCATTATGGAGTTTTCAGCATTTCTGATTTCCTACTTTTATTTCTGTGTAATTTGTCAAGCAATAGTAATGTTGACAGACAATTGACAGCTGTTAATCTTTCCGTGGGGAGTTAATCGTTGGTTTTGCATTGGTAGTGGTACCAAGAGTCCTTTTTAAAAAAATACTACTCAAGTGATCCTTACTGATTCGTCCACGGGTTTTCAGCTGACAGCAGATTTTTGGGGAGTTGTAGAGAAAAGTTCAGTTTTATAGTTCTGGCACAGTTTTCCCTAGGTAAGCCTATGCCCTCTTATATTGCGGAGAGTTATTCCGATTTCGCTTTTCCACAGTTATTTTCGGTCGTGTTATGACTTTGTCGATTAGGTCATTTGCGCGTGAAAGGCCTTAGTAATAAGTAGGGTGCTTTGTATAATAAAAAGGCGGTTAATCACAAAATGGTGTAGAGAGGCAGGAAGGGATCGAGATCATGCCCATTACGAAGTTGGAAGGCATCGAGATCATGTCCATTACGAAGTTGTTGCGCTATAAAATCGATGGTATGAGTTGAGTGAGTTTAAGGGCCAAATCCGCTGAAGGGCTGGAAACTTCTCCAAGATAAGGTTTATAGCGTACAAGGGTGGTCAGCAGTAGAAGCGTTAGCTCGTTCTCTAGTGAAGTGGCCAAACGAAAAAAGCGAAATCATCACCAAGGAACTAGAATTGCTTAGTTAGTAAATTTGTGCTACTACTGAAGTTAGAGCATAGGTCACTTTCATCTCAGAGCCAGCAGTTTTGCATACCGATCCAAAAGTCGAAGCGTTATTATTACTAGTGCAAGCCTAATTCAAAGATTCGGACCCCGTCAGATTCGATAGTGATGTGAACTCTGAAAAATCCTGAAACCAGTTCCGTTAGAAGTGAATTTTCTTCCTATTCAATTCGAACTTTTTGAATTGTTTTATAACTAATCTAGGAGAGTATTGCTGTTGGAGCGTTTTCATCATTGTAAGTAATAATTTTTTTCGCCTTCAGAGAAGGAGAAGACTGGAGATTTGATTGTATCTTACCATGACCGCGTAAAGCTCATGGCTCTTAATAAGCAGGTACGTAAGTATGTTTCGCGAAAATTTTGCACATTTTTCCGTCGTTCTTTACTCTTACTACAGTATATTAAAGCGGTTCTTTTCACTCTTTTACTTCACCTAGCACGAAGCTATTAATCTGGTGTGAACGAAGAGTACTTTTTTATATTCAAGCGATATAATTGCTTTTTTTTTTATCAATATCGAGTAAACCAATATTTTCATTCAGACTTCAGGCCTTGCTTTTGCTAGCAGTTTTCGTTTTCCTGCTTGTTTTAAAAACAGTGACTGTCACTGATATCCCTCACATTGCGCATTCGTCGATAGGAAAAGGGCGAAAGACAAAAGAAAAAAGCGTCGGTAGATCGATATCTCTATATCTGAGCTTTATATTTGGATTCAAAGCTTCAAAAGTCTGCCTAATCTGCTTCGTTCTTTTCTTATAACGCTCTGAGTTGAAGTATTTGTATATTTCTTCACTTCTCTCCTTTTTTTGCGCTTTCTTCCCCTTCTCTCTGAGAGCACTGCCTTCATTGGGTGCCTTCGTCATCTACTGGAAGCCGAGCCCCCTACCTCTACTGTGAACAATATAAGCAGTTTGCGATAGGTGTAGGGAGTGTCTGCTTTTGATCCCTTAACGTTCGAACTCATCAATGATCCAATTAGGAGCCATTTCCATTTCTAAGCGGAACTTAACATAAATTTTCAAATTTCAGAGCCGAGCTTCATTTGTCATAGTAGTGCGCAGTTCGGGGAGATCCATAAGACTCTAAACAAAAGCTATATGCAGAGTACCTCGTCAAGGTGGTTAGGGGTACACGTTGTACGCTGTTTAACCTTTTCAAGATATAACTTTAAAGCTTGTTTTTGATAAATACATCTCTAGCACACGCAATACCGTACTAACGCAAAGCAGCACATAACTTCACATTTTCTAGGTTGTAAGAGGAAGTCAAATCCAAGATAGTTTCCAAAATTTTCTTTTTTTGCATCCTTACTTACCTCATTCCTATCTCTTTTACTACTTTATACCGAATAGCCTATAATTGTGATCCTACTTCATTAATGGTGCCAGTCGTCACCGTCATTTGAATATGTATCCGGAATGTCTCGAACAGTGACGTACTCGTTTTTGCTCGTGGTATCATTCTGGTTTTCGTCGTTCAGATCCGAAATGGACCCTTTGCGGATAGTTCCGAAACTGCGGGATGGTTCGATGTGTTTGGGAACGATATTACGTAAGTTCCTCAAATTCTTTGGCTTTTGGTGACTTGTTTCAATGAAATGACTCAGCCTTTGCCTCTTTCTGCCCGAATAATGAAATCACATTCGCTTTCTATCTGCAAATTGTTGAATCAGGTGACGACCCTTTTCTGCAATGCTTCGTTGAACTACTCATTCTATGACACTGACTCCGTTGTTGGTTTTTCCTTGAAAACCAGAAGCTCTGTCGTCCCTTATTCGTAAGAGCAAATGGATTTTTTGAGGCTTATCGTTCAACGATGATGCGTTTCTCAATTTTTTTTCTTACCGTTATTCTTTGACTCGCTTTTATTTCAAAATGAAAGCTTATAAACTGTATACTTCCAAAAAAAGTTTTGAGGGATTATTCATGCAAGTGTGTTACGAGTATTTGCTAGCTCAGTTATGCGAATGTGGTTATTCTTTATTTGGTCGGTCAATATGTTCGTAGCATTTTTATTTTAGATTTTTTATAGTTACATTATTTGTGCATTACTTGTAGTTTTCGAGCTCAAAGCTCTCTTTACCTTCGCTTTGCAAAACTACTGTAGTTGTTTTTTATTCACAACTTTCGATCAAAAATCAGCGTTTTCGATTTCTGCTGCTCTCCGCCTAACCTTGAAACCGAAAGTTTACCGAAGCAGTTCAAGACATTCAGAACACGTGCGAAAAGAGGCACATACGTTTAACTCACTTCTCGGAAATGGTTTGCAGTGTTCAAAAGAGAGTGCTACTACTTTAGTTATGCTAGGCGTGTTTCAGAGCGCTCCTTAATGAGAGCGGTTGTCAAGCAAATTGGGCAGAAAAGCTGCCCTAATGCAATCATTTTTGATCATCGTATGTGTTGGGATGTGACGGAAAATCGGAAGTTTGGGTGCCTGGTAAATTTACAACTGAAATGGCTTTCATAGTACTGCTCAGCGTGTTGTCAGATATCGAACAACACTCAGTTATGGACTACGATTTCTGTTCACAATCATATGCGAGTACAAGAGGAGATATCACTAGTCAACATACATGAATATTGAAGGATAGCAGACTCGAAAATGCTGATTTTTACTTCCCGTATATTATGTATATTTTTAGTCTCGTAGTTAAGAGACGTTGGTTCGAGACAAAAACGACTATAGTAGCTTTGTTGGAATTTGATTTTAGAACACTCCTTAGTGATTGACATGTTTGATAGTGCTCAAATAGTTTTCAAACGAAGTCCAATATGAAAACGCTACGAACTAGTGGTATTGCACAACGATAAATCTCATGACATTTTATTTCTTTTGGTGAAGCGTCTTGGCTAAACCGATTTCTTATATCGGCATTGCAACTTGGTATTACTCAATCAACCCTCGCCCGCAAGACAGTATCGCCATGTTGCCATAATAGTATAACCTTTTCGAAATTTTCGCTGCCATGCATGTTCGAGTGAACGGACGGACGGGTTTCAAATTTAATGGGGTGACCACAGCTTTTAAATTACTTTCTGAAATCTGCATCTAACAGTTTTTACATCTCTCGGGCTGCCTATTTGATTAAAGGCATTTTTCAATTTCTTCCGAGAAAAATGCTTTACTCGGCAATAGTTGTCTCCGAAACTCTGATGTCCATGTTATACAGTATTCATTCTCTAATGTGTTCACCTGGAAGGTTTTGCGTGGTTCTGTCGATATTGTCCAATTTCCTCTTTTGTCAACCTTCATAAGGTTCATCTAATTATGGTGGGCTCAGGACTTACTAGATCGTTGTTTTTCTTTCTGCTCCAACAGATTGATGTCACAGCGATAGATTGCATAAAAAAAGACTCCATAACGAATATCTAATTTCCCACATTTCCCTTCGAATACACAAACCATGAAGATTGGATAACAGTCTTAGTGCTTTTCGACCACTATCCTTCGAAACTCTGTCCCGGCTTCATCCATATCGCGTTTGTTCGGGCCTTTGCAGCTTCACCCACCGTGCGGACAACAGCCAGATTATTGGCTTAGCTTCTCCAAGATAGTCTACTTTACAGCAGTCCTCAAGTCTGAGAATCTTAGATTTTTTCATATTCAGCCGAAGCTGATTCTTCGAAAGAACTTTCTATCATTTCTGCAGCTTGTCCTGGAGTTCTCGTCAAAAGTAGGCTATGGGAGGTATGTCATCTTGTGATAACGTCCATTGTAAGCAGGAAGAAAAGATCCTCGTTGATCCTTATGGAACCCCATCAGTGAAGACTGTTGCTCCTGTCAAAGGTGCGGGGTGCGTATAACCGTGTTGGACCTCTCTTACATTATATTGACCAGGGAGATCAGATTTTCCACATTTAGCTCTAGAACACTCACCAGAGGTTTTCCCTCGATATCCGGAGGAAAGCGAAGAAGGGCATGTAGCAGACTTTATCCCTTTCCCAATACCTCTAAATTACTCGTCCAGCAATGAAGTTGGCGTCCATTTGAGAACTTCCTGATATGAAGCCGAACTGCTTCCGTGTACTCGAGACACGTTCTATCAAATAATAATCGACTAGTCGCTCGTATAGTCTGATGAGAGGTGCAGCCAACCTGGTCTCCCCTCCCCCCTTAGTTGAATCTTCATCCGCGTTCCCCTTCTACTAGAAGAAGGGAAGAATTTACTGCTCCTGCAAGCATCATCATCAGGAATTCCTTTTTCATTGGTCACAATGCTCAAGAATTGGGTGACCCACCAAATCCCGGGCTCTCCAAGTGTCTTCTATGCCTCGATTGGTACCGAAATCGAACCCCTTGTCATCCCAACGCTCACCTTTCTTATTGCTCGACGGATTTTATACTCTGTTCAGAGTGTATCTGGGAGTTGTTCTGATGATGAAATATTCCTAGCCTGTTGTTCTATGGCTGTATCTGCTCGGAGAGATCTGTGCTGTGGAGTCAGGCAGTACCTCGATGCCCGTCACAGTTCTGAGAATGATCTTCTCACGAGCACAAGGTCTATTCTGTTGTTGCCTTCCACTACTGTGCATTATCTTCTGAGTTTACCTTTATCGCTTTGAAGGCAGTGCAGACTGGTAGGTCGTAGGCTTTGGTGAAGTCGAGGAATCTCTCTCCTTTTTCACATCTGACTCGTATTCCATTTTTCAATGAGTACTTCCTAGGCCACTCTGTTCACTGCTGATTCAGTTCACCCACTACTGTGAGACAGTCTCCTCTGAAACTGATCTGTGTCCTCGTCAAAGCCCAGTTAGTACTCTTTTATTGCTCTCCTAGAGGTCTGCTTGTGGTGCAAACACGAATATTATTGTCCAAAATCCCTCTTTCTGTCCTCACAGTCATAATCCGACCGCTGATTCTGTTGGCAGGGAAGTGAGAGTTTTTTTTTCGGGTACTCCGCTACTGCCATGGCCTTACCATTTCTTTTGGTGTTTTCTCCATTGTAGAAAAATTCAACAACCCATCTTATTTCCCTGGCCTTTGCTTTCTTCCAGCGTGTCTCCTGAAGGCATAGGACTGGGACACTAGCGCTTCATTAGACCAACTACCTCTCGGGGATTTCCAGTGAGCCATTTCACGGTGAGAGTCCTAATTCGAGCTAACTCCTTTGGCAGGTCGTTCACTCGGTAGCCCTCACATACTGTCTACAGAGCTCGGGCGGGGTCTTTTGCGCCACTTCCGGCTAACGTCTCAGCTTTTACTATCTGCATTGGAAACTTTATATATTTTTGTTGCGGCAGGGTTTCTCCAACAGTCGGCTTTTCATTCTGGGTCCCTTGTCCCCTCACCATTTTTTGCAAATATTGTCGAACTCGTGATGTTTTTAGTGCAAACCTGAGCTTACACTTTAGTACCGGACGCTCCCTGCCTCGGTGCAGAGCTATGAACAATATTGCTAGGTTCAATAATTCATGTTAATCTCAAACTGCTTTGAAGTTGCTCTGGCCCTTT